TAAACACCACCAACAATGTCAGCCTAGAAATCCAACGCAGGATAACTCTTGCCAACAGGTGCTACTTCGGACTGAGTAGGCAATTGCGAAGCAAAGTCCTCTCTCGACAAACAAAAACCAAACTCTATAAGTCACCCATAATTCCCGTCCTGCTGTATGGTGCAGAGGCTTGATCGATGTCAACAACGGATGAGTCGACGTTGCGAGTTTTCGAGATTTATGGTCCTTTGCGCGTATGCCACGGCGAATATCGCATTCGATGGAACCATGAGCCGTACGAGATATACGACGACATTCACATAGTTCAGCGAATTAAAAGACAGCGGCTACGCTGGCTAGGTCATGTTGTCCGGATGGACGAAAACAGTCCAGCTCTGAAAGTATTCGACGCAGTACCCGCCGGGGGAATCAGAGGAAGAGGAAGACCTCCACTCCGTTGGAAGGACCAAGTGGAGAAGGACCTGGCTTCACTTTGAATATCTAATTGGCGCCACGTAGCGAAAAGAGGAAACGACTGGCGCGCTGTTGTTAACTCGGCTATAATCGCGTAAGCGGGGTCTACGCCAATCAAGAAGAAGAAGAAACGCTCACAAATCCTCCAATATCGTATCACACCAACCACTCTCTCTCATTCAGCCAAACTTTTAGAAACCGACATATCTCTTTACGAACTCCAACTCGCCCTGTCCGCAGTAAAAGGCTAGACACCCGGCATCAACAAAATACCCTATCCCATAATTAAGCATCTCCCCAGATTACTCCTTCACCGTCTCATCAAGCATTACAACAATATCCTCAACACAGGCCACTACCCACACGCGTGGAAAACCAGCACAATAATACCCCTCTTAAAACCTGGCAAATCCCCTTGTGAAGTGAACAGCTATCGACCAATTCCCCTTCTTCCCTGCCTAGGTAAACTAATGGAGAAGATAATTGCTACCAGACTAACCTGGTACGCCCACTCAAACCAACTTATCTACCACAACCAAGTAGCCTTCAAGAAGGGACAAGGCACCACAGATGCCCTACTACACCTTGATCATTTTATCTCAAACGCGCTCTCCAGCAAAAACCATGATTCCCTCCTTTTCCTCGACTTTCAAAAAGCATTTGATCAGTCATTTTGTTCATTATAGCCTTCAATGAAATTAGCGACATCTTTAACAAGTTCCCAAACATCGAACACCAAATATACGCAGACGACGTTTTGTTGTTTTCCAAATCCAATGATCAAACATATGTCATGAGGACCTTTTCCAAAATCCTACGCCTATTATCCAAATGGTCCCTCTCCTCAGGCCCCTCAATTTGTCCCACTAAAACCAAAATTTACCTTCAATCGTGTAAATATTGTATGTACAGATAATCTTAAGTTTCTCGGTATTGTATTCGATCCCAAATATTCCTTTCAACAGAACTGTAAATACGTTAAGGAAAGACTCTATGTAAAGTTAAACATTATTAAGTACTTATTAAGCAAACGCTCGCTGATTAGTTCGGCTCTGTTGATTGTGACAAACGCCCTCATCTTATCAACCATCAACTACGGCTTAGAAATCTATGGATTACACGCTAAACAAAACTTAAAGATGATCGCTGCTCCCTACCACGCCGCAGTGCGAAGATCCTTACGCGCATTTCCAATGTCACCCATAAAAAATATTCTGGTCGAATCGGGTTTGCCGGCTCTTCACGACAACATGGAAGACAAAATATTCAGGCTCTGTTCAAGGCTCACTCTGAGCCCCAATCCTCTTGTCCGCAAAGACTTCCAATCTGCCGCCTCACGGGTGTCCACTCCTAAACAACCCTCTTCCATACACACCTCCTCCTTATTCGCAAATCAGGTTGAACTGCCGATCAAGCGGCACAATCCGCGGTACACTCATCACCTTCCCTGGGCGGCCAGCAAAACATCCTTCATTAATGACCTGGCCTCCTTGCGGAAAGATAGCACACCAAACACCGCCAAGCCAAGTTTTCCGAAACATTAACACATTATAAATCCAACGGCTGACAATTGATTTTCACGGATGGATCGAAGGCCTCACACACCTCCTATGCTGTGGTAACGGAAAATCAAGTAGTTGTCGCGTACGGCCTCCTTTTGTCATTCTGCTCTATTTTCACTGCCGAAGCAACCGCTATATTCCACGCTGTTCAATACTCTGCCAAAACCAAGGGTAAACATATAATATGCACCGATAGTATGTCATGTTTCCAAGCTATACAAAACCAAAACAAATCAGGCAGTATCATGAAAAATTTAAAAAACACACTTATTTCCCTTCCGCGCAAGATCAAAATCATGTGGATACCTGGACACCCCGGCATAAAGGGCAACACACTTGCAGATACCATCGCCAAAGATATTTCCATCASAMYAACAATCACATCCGAAGTCATCCTACCTAGCGACATATACCGACTAATTCATAGTCAGAGGCAAACAAAGTTATTACGTGAATGGGCGGATTATAATCAYCATTATTCGGACATTAACCCCAACCGAACAAAGCCTGTATACACAACATCGATAACTACCAACCACATCACCCCCTACACACGTCTCCGAATTGGGCACACCATAATTACCAACGCGCACTTATTACACGGCATTAGATCCAACACCTGGCCCTTCTGTCAAGCAACAGTCAGCGTGCAACACCTACTGGTATCCTGCCCAGAACTTGCTTCTCAAAGACTTCATCATTTCGACAACAAGGACCCTCTCCTATTGTTAATGGACGCCACAGAAGAAAATATTAGCAAAATTTACAAATTTCTAAAGGGCACAGACCTACTCCGTCGTATCTGACCCAACCAGCCAGCCGAAAGCCTCTGTTGCTAGCGGTGCGTTTGCTTTAGTTCATGTAATAATTAATTATTATGTAAGCTTTGTATAAATAAATAAATAAATAAATAAATTTCATATGAGCAATGACATATTGATTAATGCTTGTATCCGTTTATTTAATTTATTCCCAACCAATTTTTAATAATTTTTCTGTAAATTAACAATTAATTTTTAGTAAAAATGTTATTTTGAAAATGTACTTTATTTTTATAAATTAAAACAACCGTCTTAATACTCGCTGTACTAAATTTAATATTACCGAAATGAAATGCCGTGGGTATACATATGTGTAAATGAGATGTGTTTCCTCTTCGAAATTTTCTTAGAAGTGAAAACTGCGCCACCAAACTGCTGAAGTGACAGCTTATTGCTTTCAATATATGGCATACTAATTAGTATTCTATATATTGCTTTCCATAAGTAGTAGAGAGTCTCCAAACGCAACTGGCACGGCAATACGTTTAGTATAACATAAACTTTATCCTGTCGAGATGCCCCGTAAACACGATATCACAAAATAGAGCAAATTCGATATATTTTAGCGCGTATATGTGCATTAAAGCTGGAAGGAATTATTTCTCTAATAATAGAAAGGTCGTATCAACCACGATTTGTGATGGTTGTTAGTAAGAATTCGGTACAGTAATTATAACAATCTCAAAAAACGGATATTTTGAGGATTCGAATTATTTAGTTAATATAATTTGAAAAGTGTTTATTTCCGCAAGTATATTCTATAAATTGAATAACATATATGTAGGTGTGCGACACCAAAAAATTTTCTCGGCAATTTTCTAAGATGTGAGAGTTTGGAGGCAAGTGGATATTTCTTTGTGAGCAAAAAGCGGGATCAGAGCACCAAAATAATGTTTATACCGTGTGTGAGTTTTCTAATGTCAAAGGAAATATGAATATTAAAAAAAAAATTTTTTGTTGTGCTTGGTATTTGGGCGTCGTTGTTGTTTCGTTTACGGCGACTGATTTCAAAAAGTGATTGTCTAATATAAATACTATAGGCACCTGTTTTCCTTAGTTTGTTTGATAATATTTAATTTTCTTTAATTGAAAATAAGATATATGGCTTGGGATTTAAATTAGCATCCCCCCGATTTCGGGGTTATAATTAGTATATACGACCAGAGGAGGTCCTCCAGATAAAAAAAATTATAAATATGTATATACTTAGTACCGTTGACTTATGATTTTTGAGATATTGGGTAAATTTTAGAATATCATCTCCAAATTTCGGGGTTAAAATAGGTATGAACGGATAGAGGAGGTCCTCTAGATCAAGAATATATACACATATAGTTGCCGCTGACTTATGGTTTTTGAGATATTTGCATTTAAAGTTCAAATACTCAACTACTTAAAATGCGTGTTTTTCCCATTTATAATGAATTTTATAGTTATATTTTTAACTTTTATATCCGCTAACACTTCATTAAATCATTTCTAACCATTTATTTTATATTACATAGGACAAATATAACTTGTTTAACATTTAACTTTTGTTCATTCATTTTTGTTCGTACAATAACAAAAAGGTTCATTCTATCTAATATTCAGTGCTACCTTACATTCATATTTTACAGAAGAATCAAAAGAAGAAATAATAATACCCCAATACAGGAAATATAAACTGGCGGACATAATTATTCACACATCACTAGAGTTTACCACAAAAACGATTGTATCTTTTAAATAATAAAAACTAGGTTATAGTTTTGTTCTAAGGAAACCTTTATTCATATCTCTGGTATTTAAAAATAACAATAATTTAACAAATTAATATTCTATTTGAAAAAAAACCTACAAAATTTGGACATTACTTCATTTATGTGAGGGACAAAATTATTCACACTGTTTTGTTGGCTGGGATTTAGAATAGCATCCCCGGATTTCGGAGATAAAATTTGTATCATTGGAAAGGTGACGTTCTCCAGATCACGAAAATATATATATTGCCGCTGACTTATAGTTTTAAAGATATTTGCATTTAAAGTTGAAAAATTTACAACTTTTAAATTGGTAATTTGTTTATTGTGAATAACTTTTTCACTTATTTTATGCACTTTTCACTTACTAACACTTCACTATGAGGTTTCTGTATATTAATTTTTTTAATATTTGTTGTAAATAAAGCTTTATTTTAATTATTTTATTTTAGTTAAATTCTGTGCATTTGCACAATAAGATAAGGGTTGCCATGGTTATTTATTTTGAAGCGCGGCCGAAGACCGCCAGTGCAGAAGGGAGTTCTACCCGAAAGAACTTTAAACACCCCAGTGTTGGATCGACCAGGCTTATTTTTTTTTGAAGCGTGGCCGAAGGCCGCCAGTGTAGAAGGGAGTTATACGCGAAAGAACTTTGAACATTATAAAAAGTTGCAATACCGTGAAGGGTATAACTCCCTTTTTAACGCTTCATTTTCGTTAACGGGAATAATTCTAGGAACAATTGTACTGTTAGTTTTCCAACTAAGTACTGTTTATTTTTTTGCTTCGCTTTTACTTTTAAATTTGGCGAAGCAATTAGCAAGTGTGGTTAGTGATTTTTAAATATTTTATTTTTTTTAATTAAAAAGAGTTGGTAAGTGAATAGTGCATAATATAAGTGAAAAAGTTATTCACAATAAACAAATTATCAATTTAAAAGTTGTAAATTTTTTAACTTTAAACGCAAATATCTTTAAAACTATAAGTCAGCGGCAACTATATATATTTTTTTGTGATCTGGAGAACGTCACCTTTCCAGTGACACCTATTTTATCCCCGAAATCCGGGGATGCTATTCTAAATTTTACCACTTTTGTTTAACAAGAAAATTTATAATATAATAAAAAATTAATATTTGGTGGGCATACCCTTTTGYTTCAATACATCTTTAAGTCTATTTTGCATAGAGTGAACTAATTTTTTTGTCACACTTTGCTCTATATTTTGCCATTCTTGTTAAAGAACTTCCTTTAGTTGAGATTTGCTGGTAATATTTTGCTTACTCACACGCCTACCGAGTTCATCCCACAAATGTTCTATGGGATTTAGGTCTGGAGACTGGAGGAGTCGGAAGAATATGAGGCGCATTGTATATGATCCACATACGCACGTCATGAGCAGTGTGTTTGGGGTCATAGTCCTCTTGGAAATAAAAGTGATCCTCAAGGTTTAGCTTTTGCGAGCTTTCTTTTAAGTCATTCTTTAGTATATTCAAATAAACTTTTTTGTCCATTATTTCTTCAATGAATACGAGATTTCCAACACCCGCCGCTGACATACAACCCCATACCATGACCCCTCCACCCCCGTGTTTTAGTGTACTTATCGTATTATTTTTCTGAAGTTCAGTATAAGGTTTTCTCCAGACCTGTATTCTGCAAACTGACTGAAAAATATTGAATTTACTTTCATCGCTAAATAGGATGTTGCTCCAGAACTCAGATGGCTTATCTTTGTATGCTTTTGCGAAGTCCACCCTCTTTTTTTTTTATTAGCCTTGCTGACGAGAGGTTTTTTTTTCGCGCTATACGTGAACTGTAGCCAGCTCGATGAAAGGTCCTGCGTACTGTTTTAGCGTGAATATGTTCAATCTCTTCACGAACTTCTGCTGCCACCTGCGTAGAAGTAATTTTGGGATTCTTTTTAACTTTTCTTACAATTTGCCGTTCTTCAGTGTTGGTCAGCATACGGGGTCTGCCGGTATGAGCACGACTCTGAAGATCTTCTCCTTTAAAGCGCTTTATGATGCTGTAAATAGTATATCTGCTTCTATTTACAAGTTTACCAATTTCGGCAATTGATTTATTTTGTTTATGTAAATTTAAAATTATTTTTCTTTCCTCGATGGTAGTTTATTTTAATTTACGACCCTTTTTCAATATCTTCAACTCACTTGCACAAATAACAATAGCGAATGTCCTAAATTCAATGCAAAATTACAAATTTCGAGTGTAGCATTCATAGCGGTACTTCTCCAAATGCTTCCGTTAGATTTTGTTGCTAAATTTTTTAATTTAAATGGCTTGACTTTGAGTGTGAATAATTTTGTCCCCCACATAAACGAAGTAAAATGCAATTTTTGCAGATTTATTTAAAATGGAAAGTTAATTTGTAAAATTAATGTTATTTTAAATACCAGAGATATGAATAAAGATTTCCTTAGAACAAAACTATAACTTAGCTTTTATTATTTAAGAGATACAACCGTTTTTGTAGTAAACTCAGTGATGTGTGAATAATTATGTCCGCCAGTGTATAACGTATTAATTATTAGAATTCCTGCTAAATGTTCAGGAGAGCGGCTTATCTGAAACATGGACCAATTTTCACGAGAAATGTCTTAAAATTTTTGTTTTTAATTCTTTTTTGCGAATATATATGGCGTATCCTTTTAAAAAAAAAGTATTTTTTTAATGAAAAATTTCTATGTTTCGCGATGTTCAACATATACTTTCCATCATTCACTTGAACATTTTTTATAATGTTAAAAATATACTTCCAATCATTCTTTTACACATTTCTATTGATGTTTATTTTAGCAGTAACACCGTCGCACCGATAACCAAAGAGAGCCATGTATTGAAGGAGAAGTTGTTGATTACTTTTAATCGCAATTGCATAACCTGGACAGGGCAAAGTTTTTAAGATCCAGAAGGAAGCGTTGGAGACCCTATAAAGGATATATATATAAATGATCAGTATGTCGAGCTGAGTCGATTTAGCCATGTCCGTCTGTCCGTTTGTATACATACGAACTAGTTCCTCGGTTTTTAAGATAGTATTTTCAAAATTTGCAAACGAAGTTTTCTCTTCAAGAAGCTGCTTATTTGTCGGAGCTGCTGACATCGTACCACTATAACATATAGCTGCCATACAAAGGGAACGATCGGAATCATGTTCTTGTATGGAAAAGTTTCACATTTGAAAATGTATCTTTACAAAAGTTGGCCCATGTTATTTTCACAATACAACAATTGTATTACAGTGATCAAATTAATGGTATGGAAGGAGTTTGTCCTTTATATTATTGATGAATGAACTGGGGGAGCCTCCATAGAAATCGATGTTCTGGTGAAGTGAATTTACATGGTTAGCAATCCTGTTGTGAGGCCTATGGAAGACGTAGTTTTCCGGTGTCTTTGCTGTTTTAAGTTTCCGTGATTGTCTCAGCGAGAATGCCGTAGGAGCAAACTCAAAACTACTAAGAATCTCTCGGGCATCAATTAGGTTGTTAGTAACTTTGAAATTAAAAGACTAGGTCAGTGACTTGACGACGTGTAGCTAGGCTGTTGATTTTATAGCACTAACGAATATCATCAGTGAAAGGATAGACTTATAGAATTTATTTTGGACCTTCTCCAATCTGTTCATCGAGACATTAGTGTGAGGAGACCAAACTACAGTGCCATACCCACGACAGTCGGGTCTTTATCCGGCCAAGGACTGTCAACTCGGCAGAATTCTGCCGCTACAACAACAACAACAACAACAGTGCCGTACTCAAGTATGGGTAGAACCAGTTGGCGATATAGACATATCAATGTGTAGGGATTGCGAAACTCTTTACCTATTCTCGTGATTAATCCAAGAACCTTGAAAGCTCGGAGTGTGATCTTGTCTATATGCTTCGAGTTAGTGAGTTTGTTGTCTATGATGATGCCCAGGTTTTTGATGTTGGGAACTTCTTGCAGGTTGTGACCATTTAGTTTAAAACTGGTGGCAATATTGCTGTGAGAGCGCGAGTACGAGACTACCGCGCATTTATTTGCGTTAAGATAATGTTTGTTATTGGTACACCAGGCCGAGAGTTTGTCAGTATCATCTTGAATCAGCTTTACATCCAGCTCATTTTTGATGGTTCTGTAGATCTTGTCATCTGCGTA